ACGTGCGGTTAAGGCAATTTACAATCTGGGCCCCGGAGTATTTTTGAAAGATAAGTTTAAGGAAATTAATATTCTTACACTAGCGTCACAGTACACATATGAAAATGTAATTTATGTTAAGAGGAATAGTAATCTCTTTATGAAAAATAGTCACAGACATAACATTAATACGAGGAATAAAAATAAACTAGCTGTTCTTGATAGTCGTCTTCACAAAGTGACAAATTCATTTAAGGGGCAATGTATACGCTTCTATAACAAGATTCCGGTTGATATACAGAATTTGCCATTCACGAGGCTTAAACTATAGTGAAACAAGAACTTTATACTAAAGGTTGTTATACAACATCTGCGTACTTGGATGACAAAAATCCGTTTAGCTCATGGAGGTAGTCTCGATCTCTGGTGTTTGAATGCAAAACAAAAAATATATTGTAAATGTTGAATGCGTACAAATGTTATTTACAAAGAGCAACCCCTAGAATTTCTTGCACATTCTTCTCAGGGGAATCTGCCTTACGAATGAGCGGTTGAGTTTAACCAATGTGACGATTTCAAGTGTAATAATGCTTACCTATGAAATAAAGAATATTTTGATTTGACTTGATTTGATTTATTATATAATACATATTTATTATTTCGTATTTCCATATAATAATAATAATTTAATTATTTTCGGACGACGTAAATCCATATTAAATTAGTAATAGACTTATAAACCATGTAAGTCAATTATTTTAAACAGAGATTTTTAATTTATTTAGCGATCTTTTAAATTTAAATACCCAAAAATGGGCCAAATAATAGCTTTTATAACTATAATAAAATAATTTAGAGAGTTAATAACATGAACTATATATTTTTTCTGTAATGTAGGTACCTATCTCTACGATACTACATAACCTTCAGCCTTCATATCGCATTTGATTTTGCTGTGAATGTAAACGTACCCATAAGTAATCTAATCATTCTACAGCGGTGACTATACTAACTTACCTACATCTGTATTTAGAAAGCATTCTGCCGATAAAATCTACAACCCCTATTCATGTTTATGATACTAACCCACAAAGGGCGGTACCACCTTGTTAATCTGTACAAAATCAAAGCTGCAGGTATCTCTGTTCACAAACGTCAATTCCCAGGTAAAAGGATCTTCATTTTGAGTTAAACATTTATGCAGTACGTAATCTACTCGAATGAATATGTGCAATATTCTTTATTATAGGAAAATAAACTATTTTATCGGATGTAAATCGCGTATATTTGTTTTTTAAACAAGAGTCTGCCGTAACGTTGGTTTCTTTGAAAAACAAACATACAAACAATATCGACAGTGGAGAAATATCGTAAGGAATGTTAATATCGTAATGGAAAAATATTCCTTATCTTCAAAATTATTACCCTTATATCGACGGGCTATGAAGCAATTTCTTCCAGGCAACATTAGGATAAGAATTTGGGTACTTGGGCACTGAATCAATGAAGAGGTACTTGATAAACATTCATTCTGTGCAAGAAATAACCACCCTTAGAAGTTCCGCCAGAAGATACATTTAGCTGTGAATCAACACACATGATGCGTCCGTGTAGAACTGGGGTCTTAGTGTATCGCGTATGAATGTATAGTGTATCGCGTTTGCGCCAAAATTATTATTGAATTGCTATTTAACGAAACCGCCTCTGTTCAGCGGTGCCGTTCTGTTATGAGAACTTAGGTATCTAATTGAAGACTATGCGAACCAACATCCGAATGATGACAACATCAAGTTAATATAGTTGATGTTCGCTGTTCTTGATTAAATGGTACTATTTAAGTACCAATTCGGGGTTTTTTATGTATGATACAGTAAATAGCAATTCAATTAAGCGTTATTGTTAGTGTAGCAACGAAGGATATGTTGGGTATATTCGATACCAAATATTCGGCCAGCAGCTTAGCCGAATAGGCCAGACGATTCGACTTGATTAAAGCACGTACGAAAATTGGCGTGAAAAAACTAGTACCTAACATTATTTATGATAAATAGTTTTGTACAATGAAACAAAAAAGGTACTTTAATTTTCAAGTTTACAATTTATACAAATTGTAATTTCTTCATTTCATTTCAGTTTGATTAAGCTTCAAAAACTTAACTTTATTTTGGTCTGATATTTTGACTTTGTTGGCGTTTATTTAGTCATGTGTAAACTACTTATGTAGTTTACTATTATTAGTAAGTAGTTTTCACCTGATATGTTACCGTTTTTTTAATCTCTTTAGAAAATAATTTAGGTATATTACGTTTTCTTTGATCTTTTAGATAAAGTGAAAAATTGCGCTTTCTCGAACTCACAATGTATGTTCATTATAACATTCTAATTACTTCTTCCTGCTTTTAGGTATTCGGTATTTGACTGACAAGTAAAAAACAGGCCGAATAAGCCAAAAACCGAACAGTACCCGAAAATTTGTTGCAACTCTAGTTATTACTATTGGTTCTTATTAACTTGGTGCTTCTAGTTGCCCACAAAGATGACGACCACAGCCGTTGTCTGCCAAGATCGAGTGGCACGCCCAGACTTGTTGTGTTATTATTACGATGTTTTTACTGGTATCTGTTATACAAATGATAATACAGATATACGCTAGTAGCAGAGGGTAAATATTTGAGAAAATAACTCGATCTGGGTTTTTGTTCTAGTAGCAGTAGTAATAAGCGGCCTTGTTATCACAACTCTATCGAGTTCGTCCAGGAAGTACTGTCACCACACCCATTTATGCCACTGAGCAATTTGGAAGCGCAAGGATGTTGGGTGAAATTACAGACACATAATTATATGGGACTAGCTTTGTGCCTCAGGGTTATAAGATAGGCGTAGTAGCAGTGCCTCACAGATCTTTGCGATTTAAATAAAATTCATAACAATTGCAGTGCCACTAAGAGCTTTAAGTCGCTAAGATCTGAGAGGAGTCCCATAGCATATGTGCCTTTTTTTTTCTTTTTTTTTTTATAGCATATGTGCCTACCCTTATGGGTAGGCGCGTCCTTTATCTTGATAGCTATCACAAAAATAAGAGAAAAGTAACTCGATGTAGGTACGCTACAAGAGATGAACCAACTTGAAAAATAAGTTTTTACAGACAGGGAATCGTGACACTCTTCGCCCCAGGTTGTACACACTGATAGCACGTTTTGGCACGATGTAGCATTCCTACTAAAACTTGTTTTACAAACTTCAACATTAATTTCTTTTACCCTCCTATTTCTTTAACTGCTGTGACCCAAATAATAGTTTCACAACGCAGAACAAAGAACTAAAAAAGTAATGTATTTTAAGAAAATATGTTCTTGTTTGGCCACGTAATTTTGCTATGGGGTCGGCGGCCGAGGGTCGATATCGATTTGCGTCAACCTCACGCAATATCCCGCACTACCTTCGTTCATTAAAACTCCATAAATATAACTGCTGACTTATTAGTAAATAAAGTACAATCGTATACGCGTTTGAAAAAAAAGCACGTTTTAAAATGTAAACAGTACACATCACTTTATCTAATACTTGTACGTATACATATGTATTACGTGTTGCATGCAAATTTCATAAAATAATTAATTGTAAACTCCCATGCTTTATAGTAGTAAATGTGTAATCGTTTTGAGCTCTTGCAACACCAAAAGTAATTTTAGTGACTTTATAAAGCTGCCTGTCATTGACTTACAATTATATGGACGTCGGGTCCGCGCTAAAAAGTGTCCGAACTTATAGGGCGTTAAAATCGTATACAGAGCGTCATTCACGCTAAAGCTAAAGACTAAAGTCTTCGTTTGTTCGACTGACAGCGAAGCAAGCAAAATTAGACAGTAGGTGCGATGACATTACAGTTTAAATTCAACGTTTTAGCTTTTTCATATTCCTTTACATGTCACTACGTTTAAATAGGTTGACTTGGGACATTTTTTTCGTGGTTTGTGTATTAGACCCGTCGTCCATTTATTTGTAAGTCAATGCTGCCTGTATACCTTTTTTAAAATAAGTACTATAAAAATAACAATGTTGTAAGAAAGAATTGACGGCGGCTGTTTCGCTATGTTATTGTTAGAGCTGTTACATACGGCATAATTTTAGCAGCGATGCAAACACGATGCAATCGCTAATAGTCTACCTTTACACACACGCGCGACTTTAAGCAGCAGCGAGGCAAACGCGTTGCTAGCGCGCGATTGCATCGATACAAACGTTTCACGAACGCGCGTTTGCATCGCTGCTAAAATCGCCGTGTGTAACCACTGTTATTAAACAGAATTTTAATAATCTATTTTCAAACCTGCGCATAAGAAGACTTGAAATTCAAATGAAAAATAGCACTGTATATTTTATTGAAGCAAAGATCATGAATTTCAATGCAAGACAGACAGAACAATAAACTGTACCGTATTATATAATACTTATTATGTACTCAGATAAATTATATCTGCCTAGTTATATTTATAAAACATTTAATAGGTACCTGCAGATATCTTAGACGCAATTATGAACAAGGACCTACCTATATTAGCATGACTTTTAAGAACCTTTTAGTAGCAGTAGAGCTCCTTGTGAAAGAGTTCGTCCAGGGAAGTGCTGCCTTACCTGTTTCTGCTGCCAAGCAGTAACGTGAGCATTACTGCGTTTCGGGTTTAAACTTTTCAACTTATCTCTCAAGGTAACGGACACAGTGGCAGTGCCCCAGAGATATTTGCGATTTAAAGCTCTGCGCAGCGGCGGCGCTGCAACTGTTATGGACCGACGGCGGCGTGTCGCTTACCAGCAGACGCACGACTTATTCGTCTCGTCACTTGGTATCATAAGCAAAAGAAACCTTACTACAATAAAATTGAACAAGACATGAATTGGTGAATTAACGACTCTCATCTAACGAGAGACTGTTCAAACGTATTGTTTAACAGTTTGAAGATTAGAGAATACTATTTAAATAAAAAATTGTTTCCCTAATCATTTTCCAACTTTCTTTTTAGATATCCAAGAGTTCTATGAACTAACCCTCCTCGATGACACCAAGTCTGTCCAGCAGAAGACTGTGGAAACCATCCGCATTGCCAACAAGTGGGAAGCGGATAATGTTAGACGAGAAGTGAGTCCATTTTTGTAATTTGTTAATACATTGAACACTTTTTTTGGAATAAGTAAACACGTAAACTTGAACCACTAAACCTTGTCGTAGTAAAATCCCTAACAAGGGTATGTGGGTGCTTGCCAATATAACCACATCTTTATTGGAATACGGCAGCTCATAATATATTTAGGTGCCTACTTACATGCCGGAAACTTAGGAAATTGGTATAGGTACTTGAGTTTCGTATCAATGCATTGGAGAATACGTTCGAGGTACTGGTATATGCATAATAGTTAGTTTATTATTCACAAACACGGCTTCGTGTAATTAAATGTTTGGTTTGGCCAGAAACAAAATCGCCAGAAACTACATTTTTCGACGCTGTGTTATTTTGCTAATTAACAAATAACAATAACTTATAATTGGCGCAGTTTCGCAGACTTCGTTGTTTACAAGCAATTGAAAGGGGTGCAAACAGTTCTGATTGCGAAGAAAATTTCAATTTTATTGAATAAATGAATACGAGGGATGTAGTTAGATATATATTTTTGTTTTGTGAAAAGTTATTTGCCTATAACCTAATCATCGGGTTTTCCACGTGATTGCGAATGCCGATTATGCGAATGACGATAGTGCGAACTGCGAAGACGGTCAAACTATAGTGCGCGACGGCTCATTTTCACGAACATCAGTTCAGATCAGTTGTGCGAAGGTTTAAAAGCGCGATAGTTCAATTGCGCGAATGACGATAGCACGAAGACGAATTTGCGAAAGCTGGAATGCACGAATGGTTAATCCTACTATATGGTTCATTTGCTTCACGCTAATTTTAGTTGAGATTTCAATAGTCTGGAAATCTTTTCCCTTCATTTACATAGAAAGAAAAGTTTATAATTTGTAACATTTTTAACAACCGTGGCCATGCGACCTGTAAAAGGCCCGAAACGTCGGTTTGTTTGAAAAAACAAATATACGCGATTTAAATCCGGAAAAATAATTTCATTTCCTATGTGTAACAATCGCGAAAACCTAAGAACTCGATATGTAACATTTTTATTTCAATTAATCAAACTTAAAAGTTCGGGCAATTTATTATTATTGTTTAAAGTTGTAATTATTGTTTGTTCGTTTGATTTATCTTTGTTTTGTTTGATTGATCAAAATTAAAGATTGTTTTGTTTTATTAATTGAAGTTTTAATTAACTTCCAATGTAAATGAAGTGAAAAAATTCCAGACTATTGAAATCTCAACTAAAGCGGGAAGCAAATGAACCATCGTAGGATTAACCTTTCGCGCTTTCGCAAGTTTGTCAAATGAACCATTGCGGTTTTAAAGTTTCTCGCTTTTAAACCAGCGCACAACTGGCCGTCGCGCATTATAGCTTGACCGTCTTCGCACTATCGTCATTTGCGTAATCGGCATTTACAATCACGTGGGTTACCCATAATCATCGGTCTACCCTTTTAAAAACAGTTTTTTTTCGAATATTACTACTTATGGAACTATTACTCCCTATATACTAACTTGAAATTTGAATTTGTTATAAATACGGATACCAATAAGATAGAAGATAGAGATAGAGAGAAGAGAAGAAATAAAAAAATATATATTTCTACTAGATTTCAAATTACGTATGTCAATGTATTTATTGGCAGTAGACCAACTTCTTGTGAAAGTGTTCGTCCAGGAAATTACTGTCACTACCTATTTACTTAAGGGTGCTAGTGAAATTATAAGCCACTTTTCAACTAATGTCACAAGGTGACGGGTGCAGTGGCAGTGTCTAAACGATTTAAAGCTCTGAGACGTAGTGAATAAGAACTCTGAGCAGGCATTGCGGGACAGGCGGGCGTGTCGTTTACCACCAGACGCACGACTTGTTCGTCCCGTCACTTAGTATCATAAAAAAGACAAAAGCAGACATTTTTGGCATTCCTCCCGGGACGAAATACAACTTTCGTAGGCACTTCTACTCGTTTTTTACCCCAGGATAATATTTATTAAGTCTCTAATAGTCAAGACGTTACTTGTTTGGCTAAAATGATTGTTGTATTTTGCATTCTATCGCGCTTTTCTAACTTGTCTATTTGTAATTGTATATTGCAAAACGTACATGACTACCAAAAGATAAATAAAGCACTGTCGTCTTAGAGATCGGTAACCCAATGACCTACAACCCCAAAAAATACCCACATAACAGATATCATAATCACAGAACAATAAATTTACATTAACAGTCCAGAATTTATTACATCTTTTTAAATTAGAAACTACGACCAATCATTATGCATAGATTTCATGGTGTTTATCATTCGTTTGTGTGCGTTTTGGCGACAGCAGCGGTTCTGGCATAAGGCACTTCCATTCATTGCTTTTATTCTTCCGTGATCACAATAGCCCGCATTTTTAAAATGAAGTAATGCCTTATTTGATTGATATTTACTAGTATTTATGTGGTCTGTGATATTTACATTACCATCTACTTAGGTCAAATTCTGGTAAAATGTCAAATATTTACATTAGGTAAATATGTACTGTAAATCTGCTTAAGTTCAAACCTACTTACAAAAAACTACATTCTTTTTGTAACGTTGAACAAACCTAGATCTAAAAACTATTACAAAGATTGCTTTTATGACTCTATAATTTCTAGCTCTTATGGCAGCCAACCGTACCCGGTAATCTTTTCTTCAAATTTATATTTAATCAAAGTTTATCTTAACTCGGTACACAACACGAACGATTCTTTGTTATGTTTTTAGCATACGTGAGAACAGCAATATCTAATTTAAGTAAATAACACACAATTGTACGTGTTATTACACGCATTACAAAAGTCAATAATAAACGTCTCTAAATTTCCTAAGTGCAATTTCAATCACAGTACTTATTTAGAATAAACATTTTAGATCGCGACAGAGGAGAGCGACTACAGATCGGTCTCCAATGCATTCCTTCAGGACAACAACCGGAAATCTGATGCTCCGCACATTGAAACGCCCGATTCAACGAAAGTAATTAATTCCTTTTCCATTTTTTTTAGTTTTTACGAATTAGATTAAATTAAATGTGTCTATTCCGTTTTTATTTACCTACCATTTTTGTTACTTAATCGACAGGTGGGCACCGTGCAAATCGTCGCATCACCTCCTAGCGGTGAAGATGAAGAAAAGCGGGTAGGTACCTACATACCTAACTAAATATACATTATGCCTCGGTTATGACATCATGGGATTGCCAAGCTCGTCATTGTTTTAACGAAATTACTTTTGTTATTGTGAACCATTGACTTACCAATAAATGGACGACGGGTCTAATACAAAAACCACGAAAAAAATGTCCCAAGTCAACCTATTTAAACGTAGTGACATGTAAAGGAATATGAAAAAGCTACAACGTTAAATTTAAATTGTAATGTCATCGCAGTACTGTCTAATTTTACTTGCTTCGCTGTCAGTCGAACAAACGAAGACTAAGCGTGAATGACGCTCTGTATACGATTTTAACGCCCTATAAGTTCGGACACTTTTTAGCGCGGACCCGACGTCCATATAATTAATCCGATGACGTTAGACCATTTTTAAACTGCACTTTATGTTCTGAAAAGTTGTATCACGTGATGGCAGCACGATAAAGAGAGAGATTTATACGCGCAGACGGCGCGCCTTGAACGCGCGTTTCACGAACGCGCCTTGAACGAGCGTTGAACGCGCGTGTACGGCGCCGAAAATGCTCGAAAAGCAAATGTGCGTTCAATGCGCGTTTGCATCGAATCAAACATCGCGTTGCAAGACTGAGGAAAGGAGCAGGGGAGAGGGCGTGCGCACAATTAAAAGAAGTTCTTGGAATGACAAACTGTTATAGAATATCATAAGTATGACATTCGATAACAGCTTGAAAATTAGGTACTACGTGTAACAGTTTGAAAATTTGTCAAATCTTCTGTTTCACTAATTTTTTAAACGTTGTATTAAAATGACACTACACAATTTTCTTTCGCTTGTAAATGGGTCTATCCAATAGACGTTTACTTTTTTCTTTTTATAATCAATTTAATAAAGCTAGCGTAAGCAGGTTATCTCGACCGACGCCATTGTGTACGCCGACGCTATTGAGAGTACGCGCCGTAAATGCCCGTTTCACAAACTTTGTGTACCTGCATCAAGTATATAACCAGAAATAGAGACGAAATAAAGGCCATATAATCCTGGTAACACATTAACGATACAGCTCTTATAAATATCAACGCCCGTTTGCACTGAAATATAGACAGGCCAACTACTAACCTGTGTGTACGTCTCCGTATATTTCAAAAAATATTCTGTATTTATTGTAATAAAGATAATATCTCTAACAATGCCGTGCTGATCTATTCGGTGGTAAAGACAGTAAAACATCTAATTACAAAACAAACGGAATCACATTTTATTGGTAATTAATTTATTAATTGCAATTTTCGTCACTTATAGCAAAGCTCAAGTTAACTGGGCGATTTGAAGTGAAATAGTTGACGACACCCGTCAATTGTTTCGAACTCGGGCTAGCCAATCGGAGCGCAGTTGTCACAGTAATGATATGGCAGAGTAGTTTTCAAACAAATAAAATGACATTTCGTCTATATATACTCGATGACCTGTGCATAGGTTTACTGGCTACGACTGAATCTCGTTTGAATCGTGTTAAGGCGTGTCATCAGTGCGTTGTTAGCGCGTCCTCTGCACGTCGTCTGCGCGTATAAAATATGCCGTGTGCATAGGCCCAAAATGCCTGCAATCTGATAAGGATTGCCATGAATTATAAATGGCGATCTATTTCATTTTGATATCTTAAATTATATTAAAATAAAACTTAAAAGAAAACTATAATAGCCTGAAAGTATAATCCTGGTTTACGTAAAAATAAATTTTGATTCCTATATACATAGAAGATATATAGAAGCACGGTCATTTTTGATCATTAGACCTAAATTCAAATAACCGTGGTAATTTTTTATGTAGGTATTGTCAGTGATGTATGTCTGTGGTGTGATATCTAATACTTTTTTACTAAAATTGTTTATTAAGTACCTTAAATACTGTAGTTAGCTGAAATATGACCATACCTTTTCATTACACTATTAATATTATATATTTTCGACTAATACTCGTAGATAATAACAATGGTGAACTTCAAACTCTGTCTCATTCATACATTTAAGGCACTAATTCAAAATGCTTTTTGCCGCGCACGTTAGTTCCAGCTATGCATGTTGATAACAGCGCCATCTAGCTAGCCCTCTATAAATTAGTTCGAGATTTATCGATGATTCCGTTCCGTTTTGTTTTATAAATGTTTTTTATTTTGATGACGTGACGTTTACGAAGGTAGCTGAACGGAACGCTTCATACAACAAGTGGTTGGTAATGGCGGATGGTTGGTGTTTCGCTTTCGCGTCTCGTAGTACTATTTATAACCTAAAATATAGTACAAGTTTTCGGCGATATGTGTGCTAACATTTCATCGTTGTGTGGATTGGTGCCGTTAAATTTCACGTTTGTGCCAATGACGTACGAGTACATCAACTGAGGGAAAGGATACTCGTACATGATTATCAGTGAAATGGTATTACACACAAAATTTTGACATTCACACTGCTGATAATTCGTATTCGTCGCAAGTAAGGCCATTTAATAAACACTAATCTATTTTTAAACGTTTAGTAATTTCTTTACACTTCGGAACGTTTCGAATGTTGGTGAGACTAATGCGAGTTCTGAGTTAGTTTTGCTTGTGACTACCGCTGTAATACTCGCTGATGTTCCTACCTATCTATAAAATGAGTGCTCATGAATTGCACACTAATAAGTAACGTAACACGGACATTCTAATTAAAGTTCATCGCTTTGACATTCATGCCATCCTATCATTGATCACACACCTAATAATTGACACCCATACATATCTACTAAAAACCATTATCAAAAGAGGGCTAGGCCGAATTATTCAATCATTAGATAAGGTCTGCAGTCTAAACCTTAAGCTAACATGATAATAAGCTTATATTATGGGACAACATGCAAACACATAAAGAGGTCATAATAATTCAATAAAGAGGTCACAGTTGTTTGAAATATTTTGGTGCAAGTTAGATGTGGGTTCTAGGTAGAATGGTGCATGCAGATCGTCGTCAAGTAAGGTGCTGATGAAGGACACCAGTGTGTAACTAACAATGCATGCAGTGTACATAGTATAGTGCCAAGATCAGTTTAAGAGGGCTATGCACACTTGGTCCCCAAAATGACTGAAAGAAGGAAGAAAAAAACACATAATGGATTCCTACGGAAAGTGTCCTCTTTGTTTAATCTTGACACGGTGAGTAGGTACAGCAGTGTTCCACTTTCAAATTAAAATTTAGATAAAAATGATTGAGACAGTTTATAATGAATTTCACCACTGTTACCATTAGTAAATCTACATTAATGTTATAATAAAGTTATTATATTTGCCACATACCTTTAAAGGGACATTAAGTTCAATGAAGTATCTTATTTATTATTCTATGGTATATGTAAAGTAAACAAAATTAACCTACTGAAGGTTGTAAATTACATTAATGATGTACATAATCTACTTTCTAACTAAATGAAAATTGTTTTATGAAACTAACCACTTGTTGTTTTTATCAATGTTGCTTAAAAATCCTATTAGACAGGAATTTGTATTGACTATGATTTTGGTGATTATGTTGATGAATGATGCTTGGAGATTAACTAACGATGCAACAAAGAATGTTCTATTAAAAATCCATTTAAAGTTGTAAACATTCTTTCTAAATTCCAGGTTCACGTTGCATCACCTGAAATGAAGCAGGTACTTAACATTAATTTATATTTTGATACAAGTATTTTAAAATGTATTAATTCTTGGTTTAAGCCTCCATAGCTTATGACATTTTCAGATGGCATTATGTAGAGGAAAATAGTGCATTAATGAGTTCATTAATTCAAAAGCATAGCACTATGGAAGCTAGCTGTAATTAAATTATTATATGGCAGGAAAATTTTATTACTTATTTTTATATATTTTGTATGTAGATGTGTGAGTAATGTAACTATGTCATATATTATGTTTCCTTCTTACACTACTTGGTCATATTTCAGTTTCAATTGACTTTTAGTTTCATGCATTAACACATGAGTATAATAATTAAATTATACAATGAAAGTTACAGGTGAATGGTATTGAAGGTGGTGCTACAGAACGCACACAAGAGGAGGGTTATGTGTACCTGACGATAGTCTTGTCCCGCGCGGGCGGCGCCGGCCTCGGTTTCAGCATCGCTGGGGGGTCAGACAACCCCCATGTGGCTGATGATCCACACATCTATGTCACAAAACTAATACCTGGAGGCGCGGCCGCCGCCAGCCAGTTGCAAATTAATGACGCCATTCTACAGGTTGGTTTGTTGTACGTTTTTTGCTAATACTTAAGCTTTAAGAAATATTTAAAAATGGGGAAATTTTTCAATGAACAATTAAACTGAATTTATTGGGAACATTTCACCACCGTAATAGTAAATAATAAATAACTAACTTTTAATTATATTATTCCCAATACAAAATGTTATGATCAAACTACAACACCTTATGTTGCGCCAAACAGGCTTGCTACCTACACAAATATACAAAACAGTTCAAGGTAAACAAACATGTTGCATAATACCATAAGCATAGGAATATTACATTACATACCAACATTTGCTTGTTTATCTGTTATCGTTTTTCGTAAGTGGGGCTTAAAATGTCCAGTCCTCTCCTATACTGAATTACATCCATTGTTTGTTGTAAGAATAAAAGATATTTCAAAATGCAACAAACATCCTTTACTGACACGCATTTGGAGCTTATCTTAGTGTATGTTGTATTTTAGTAACATGTCTTTTGCCTATATTGGTCATCTGTTTTCCAATCAAGGATATTTTTTTTCGTACCGCACTAACCGGTTTCTTTTACTATTTGTATTAATTACCATGTCCAACAGCCATACAAAGGGAAAACGTTGCTAATATTTCGGGCTTTTGCTGCGAAGTCGCTATTTTGACTATTTTATTGGTTTCTTGTGTATATGGATATATACAAGAAACCGATAATATAATATTAAAGTTATTAATTTACATTGGATATTAATAGTTATATCCAATGCAAATGTACTTTAATACATAAATATAATAATACTCATAATGTCACTACAAATTTAGACCTTATGGACTAATGGCCTTAAGGCCTTAATTAGTATGCAAGACACAACAGATGCTTGAGTGCCTCATTAATTATCTATGTTAAGTAATGCAAACAACGTAAATAAGATCCTGGAGTTATGTTATTCTTTGTCGAACAGGTGAACGATACGAATGTCGAAAATGTTACGCACGCTGAAGCGGTAGACGCGTTGAAAAAGGCTGGAAATACTGTGAGACTGGTAAGTATTACTTATCTTAGAGATAATGTTTATTGTTCAAGATTGTAAAGAATACTTTTGTTCCCTATATCACCACTTGATCATAAAAAAATGCGCTGTACCCTGAGGTATTTAAATAAGTTTCATTATAAACCAGAAAGATGAATAATATTATTCAAATTGAACATGGTTTTTTTTCCCATATTAACAAGTTATAACTTATTACGTGTGTTTAATTTCAATTCGCACAAACAAATTCCCCGAGAATGTTTATAATATGCGCAAAATATGTTTAGAACTCAAGTAAATTAACGCGTTTTCCTTACAGAAAATAAAACGGCGCGGGACTGAAGATACGCTAAGCGTATCGCAACCAACAAATAAAGAGGAAGCTGTGGAAATAGAGCTAGTAAAGGGAGGCTCTGGCCTTGGTTTTAGTATAGCTGGTGGGGTAGGAAATCAACACATCCCAGGAGATAATGGCATCTACGTAACGAAGATCATGGCAGGCGGAGCGGCGCATCGGGATGGCCGACTCAGAGTCGGTGACAAACTTCTCATGGTTAAAAATACTTCGGTAAGTTTTTTTTTTTATAATATCAAGTAACGGGACGAACAAGTCGTTCGCCTGATAGTAAGCTACACGCCTGTCCATAACAGTTGCAGTGCTACGCAGAGCTTTAAATCGCAAAGATTTGAGGAACACTGCTACTGCGCTCGTCACCCTGAGATGTAAGTTGACAAGTCTCATGTGCCTGTAATTTCACCAGCACCCTTACCTTTCAAAACCGGAACACAGTAATGCTGACATTACTGCTTGGCGGGGGAAATAGGTAAGGCAGTACTTCACTGAACAAACACTTTCACAAGGAACTCTACTGCTAGTAAAAGCAAAAAACGTAGTGGAATCTTGATTTGATTAATACCACTGGTTATTTTAATTATCTCTGGCTCATCTCTGTTACGTAGTACTCGATATCTTAGTTGTTTATTTGTACATATTAAACAATGCAGTTGGTGTTAAATATAAACATTAAACATTGTATATTGTTTATCTTGATGAGACAATTTACATTTTAAAAAACAGTGCAGAAACCCGAACACGAAAACCGACCTCAAAAGTCATTCATCCCCTAATTTGCGACCCTTAGAGATGGAATATTTTTTTCAAATTTAAATGGGACCACTTCTGAGGTACCCTCTTTCCAACAAAAAAAGAATCATAAAAATCGGTTCACAAATTAGTTATCGCGTATCATACATACAAAAATAACATACAGTCGAATTGAGAACCTCGTCCTTTTTTTGAAGTTGGTTAAAAGTATTTTCAGTTCATATTGACAAATGTCGGTTGGCGAGCCTTTACATTTCAATTATTGCTTTTAGATAAACAAACTGGTAGTCTGAGTCACAAAACTGCATTCAAATATTTATACAAAGGCACAAGTACAATGCCGCAAAATCAATTTCAATTACTTCCGTGAAACAGTTAAACAGGGCGACGCTTTGAGCAATATGGCGCTGCATTGTTTTCGTTTTCCGATGCTCGTAACGACATTGCTATGTAGTTGAATCATCACAACATGTAGATAGCTGTTTCCTTAAGCCTTACGTGCGCCTAGGGCGGTATTTCTTTGGCAATGCCAGTTTGCGCGCACGGATCGCTAGACAAAGAATGGCATTCATTAAGGAGCACGGAGAGCGAGTGTATTAGTGAAAATGTTGAAAGATATACAATTTTTAATACTAAACCTTTGCGGACAGCGTGGCGATGTGAATCTGGACAATGTGACGCATGAAGACGCTGTCAGTGCTCTGAAAGCTACTGGCGAACGGGTTCAGCTCGTGCTCATTCCAGGCCCGCGGCATGGACAACCCTCGCCGAGAACTTCTAGAGCCAATACTCGTAAGTATTCTAACCCTATAACTAAAATAAGATTACTTAACTACTTAAAAAAATACAGTTATATGATTTTTATTAATTGTGGACTTATGAAGACGACAATTTACAAAAGTGTAGAAGCCCCTTTATGTACCAACTCATTGTATTTTATATTATTTTATTATATTTGAAGTGCTTTCAGCTATTTTTAAAAGCCGCAATTTTAAGTATAAATTTAAATGTTAATTAAAAACTTCTGTTTATGATGTAACATCAGAAAATGTGTACATCTCTGGTTATCTATATAATCTGAATGCAAAGATTTTGGAAAGCTTTTGGTTTTTTATTGGTTGAGATTTTCTTTAAAGTTTTTTGTTTCTGTCTAGGTAAACCTAGATGTAAGTACACTTTATACACAATTAACAAACTTTTGGTATGGTATTTTTAATTAATACATTTATTGAACGAACCGAGCGGCCGCGTAACGCGCGCCTGTCCTTAGCTGAATGTAACTTGTCGACAGCATCCAGCGCAGCGAACTCGCTCAGACGTGAAGACGTAACTGATAGTAATGAAGAACCTCGCGTCGTCGAACTGGAGAAAGGTTCTCAAGGCTTGGGCTTTAATATAGTCGGTGGGGAAGATGGCCACGGGATCTATGTATCGTTCCTTCTTGCGGGAGGACCGGCAGAGCGGTCAGGACAGCTGAGGAGGGGTGATCGTCTCTTGGCAGTTAATGACATCGATATAACGCACGCCACGCATGAACAGGCTGCTAAAGCTCTCAAGGTAAATCTTCTTCTTCCTTTAAATATTATTGCTCCATCGAAGTAATCGATGATTTCGCCAATAATAAAGTGAGAAAATGCATGAGTAATGAAACTAGTGTTCGAGTTTAAATCGCGTCATTTGTTTTTTCATACAAAACCAACGTTTCCAACCCTTTACTTAGATCCGAAAACATAGTTCAATTTCCTATAAAAAGGAAATTTGGAAACAGGTTTAGAAAGGTGGAAATAGAGAGAAATAAGGTTTAGGGCAGGAAAGTATGAGCGTTAAGTAAACAATTCGTATAAATGTAAGTTATGCGGTTTGTTTTGTTGTCTAAGATTTTTTTATTTTTTTTCGGTATGTCATACTTAAGAATGGTATATACTATCCCAACTGTTATGTATGATTTCGTGAAGAATTATAATATTCGGAATGATCATTTTGCAAAAAAAACAATAATATTTGTAAAAAATTAAATCAGACTTTAATAAATATGTGTTGAGGGGAGACCCTATCTCTAATAATGGTGATAGGCTGATGAAGATGTTGATTAAACCATGTCTTAAAAAAATAATAATTCGTAATTTTATCATTTACTAAAGAACCATTACATTTATTAAAAAAAAGAATGTTTTGGTTGCAGTAGATCAAGAAACTTTACAAAACATATTTCAATTGAATAGTAATTTCAAAATCTACACTTGTAATACAACGCCAAGCATCTATTATACTTTTACTACAACAAAAGTAAATATATTATGTAAAATGTGAAACTATCGATAAAGCTCGTCATCGGTTGAATGAGTTTCTTAACCAATAAATTTTAATTTCCGATCGGCAATCGAGGTCAGACCGCCTTACAAAATCTATATTGTATAACAATAGGTTGACACTAGTGCAAAAACAAAAGTACATTGTTGAGTCTTGTGCAAAATGATTTTACATTATGCTATTATTTGTAATTCTTGTTATTTTTTTGCTCTATTATATCCAAATATTCATTTTTGGCTTATAATATTTATAGCATTTAAAAGAAATACTTTACCAAATAGATGCTTTGTTCAGACCCAAATAGAGCATGCCAAATTAATGTCTCGAGATTGTAGTAAGAGGGCACTAGGACACAGATGAGATGAACTCGTGAAATATTTTTAGTTACTCACAACCTGCTCTACCACTTTTGAATATTACCAATATTCGTCCTCAGCCGGTTTGGGAACTTCGCATGTTAGCCAGGGGTTGTGAAGCTTATTTGACGTGCGGGTCTCTTTGCTGTGTTTTCCTTGATTTAACGAGAGATACTACTACTTTTTTTATATATTAACCTATGTCCCACTGCCGGGTAAAGATCTCCCTCAAAATCCTCCATTGCTCCCTGTCTTTGGCGATCTCCCACCACTCACTCTCAAACCCACCAAGATCGTCCCGAATGCCATCTCGGCTGTCCACGCCGTCTCTTTCCGTCCTCGGGCACCTAATAAGGACGACGTTCACCCACTTCTCAGGTTGCATCCGGCTAACGTAGCCCGCCCAATCTCATTTGAACCTGGCTGTTTTGGGAGGAGCATCAGCAATGCCGGTTATCGAAAGCAGCATTGTATTACGTACTCGGTCAAAACGTTTAAAGCCCAGAATGCTGCGTTTCATCGCCCTCTGGAAAATCTTGAGTTTAATTCAACATTTACAAATGTAAAGTCAACCTCTTAATTGAGATGCAACCGGTCGCCAACAGAGCTACCATCGTTCTCTATAAAACCATCTCGCACCATTACAGGGCACGGGGCAGAACGTGAAGCTGACAGTAGTGTACAGGCCACAAGAGTACAATAAGTTTGAGGCTCGTATTAACGAGCTAAAACAGCACCACACGCTTCTAAGGACATCGCAGAAACGCTCCTTGTATGTCAGGTGAGTGGGTTCAACTTATTTTCTCAATTTTATTAAAAATCAATTAACATATCGTTGGTTGAAATTATTTAATATCTTTATACCAAACACAATATATATTTTATGTAAAAAGAGATACTGAAGTAAATATGAAATATCTCCAATCGTTACTATTAAGTCAAAGGATTCTATTGCAGTGATATTTTTTTAACGTGGCGTCTTTTACAAGCAGAATAATAAGCTATTTTGGAAGTTTAATTTATATAATACGTAGTTGAATTTCAAAATATCGTCTATTTGTTATCCAGAGCACTATTCGACTATGACCCAGTGAAAGATGACGGCCTTCCTTCGAGAGGTCTCCCGTTCAGATACGGAGACATTCTACACGTCACCAACGCCTCCGATGACGAGTGGTGGCAAGCTAGGTAATATTGATTTTAGTATTAGTCGAGAGGAAAAAATTGTAGTATTATATTCGGCATACAAAATTTTCTATGTAGTAACAAGACATACAATAGTTATTTGTTTTGCAATGCTGCAAAGTTGTTGTTTGACGCGAGTGCTTGTATTGAAACTTGAGCAACCGAAGGAATCTAAGATTCAAAAATAATCCTGAGCATAGCTAGGATTTCAAGGCACGAAACGCAAAACAACTTTGCTGCCGAGCGAAACATACAACTTTTCACCTCACTATAGCGAGGAAAATGGCAGACAAAAGAAAAAGGGTTGAATAATAACAAGACAGGTTTAATAAACAAATTTAGTTCTCGTTATCAATTTAATGTCAACAATAATAAAAATAAAATATACCAACGGATTTATATTACACAAATAGTGTGCGACAAATGGACAAATAGCGTAGTTGCACATGTCATTATGTTTTTTTTTCATCGAAAGAAAAAGTGGTGCACCACAGTCCATTGTCAAGCTCGAATTTTAAAAAACCTTTTCCACGCTAGCATGGAAAAAACGCTTTTGCTTGCTGATGTCTAAAGAGAAAGAAAGTCTTTCCGAGCTAGTGAGGTGCAAATACAATTTTTCACTAATCCATATATATAATACTAGATAAAGAAAACAATAATCTTTTCTCGCATTATGGCAAAAACAGAAGTTACCTAATGTCAGACTGTCTGTCACATTCTCGTTTCGGTCAAATCAAAATATCTATATTTCATAGATAATCAAAGTACACTTGAAATCGTCACATCGATTAAAAACATTCTTAGATCAAATTCAACTAAGAAGAATTATTTTTTTATGTCATCAGTCGTCACAAACATTTAATAGCTTGAAGTACACAACGGCTGGAAGTACACCATGCGTTCATTTCAAAGAAATGATGAAGAAAAGTTAAAAAACGATCATATATTATTTTACAAATATATACAGTTTGTAATTAAAAAGGTCGTACAATATTTAAATTAATTGTAACCAAACATTTAGCAAAGACAATTTTTTATTGAGGACTTTTTAGGAAATGTTTCAAGAGTCTACTAATGAAATTTGCCATAACTTTTTTATGCTTAATGGGAAAGTTATAAATAGGAAAGTTTCATGTAGTTCGTATTATTTTTATGATTTTCATGTGATAAAAGCATTTCTGACCTATGATCACATGTGGTTTTATTATACTAAGCGTACGAATTGTATACAATAAATGGAACATGTGTAGAAACATTTTTTTTTCTGTCGAACATTTATGTTGGACTCTTTACAATTAGATTTTATTTATAATGTTCATGTTCAGACGGATAGACACTCCGGACGCAGACGCAATAGGCATTATCCCCTCAAAGAAGCGCTGGGAACGCAAGCAACGTGCGCGTGACCGCCAAGTCAAGTTCCAAGGACAGGGCACCCCCGTGAGTACTGTGAGTTCAAACGCACCTTTATATTGCTTTAACACCGTCTTTAGAAACCTTCATACTATGAAAATAGTGTATTAGGTATATTTTTTATCGTATGATCTATACCTACCGGGGGCGGCTGAAAAGTAATCTACCTAAGTATGAAATAATAAACAACTACTTTTATATATGAAATGTACACAGGTATTAAATACACTTAATATAACATAAATTATAATATAAAAATTATTGTTTGTACAAAGGGACACTAAACGTTAGAAAAAAATCTCTTAAAAAATAAGTTGCTCATTTTTAAACATTTTGCTTTTTTCTTCCGCCTTTTTGTCCATGCTAAACGAAATTTAGTATACAAAAGAGTGTCATTAATTTTGAAAAAAGAATAAATGAGTAACGACAGTGGCCAGTATTATTTTTGAATTATAAATAATCAAAAGAGATTACATTTCAGGGATTCGCTCTGGACCTTTTGGAGGGAAAAGTGTCGTTTTTATTTTGACTTTCAATTATTTTGTGAAATCTAGTTTAAAGTGGAATAGGATAGTGCTATTGTGCCTTAATCGAAGATTAAAACGCGAAATTATATGAATCTCGAATTAAAATACCCGTATCGGCCCGTTTTAAGGAATCCCGAGTCAATCCAAGCACGCCGCCTCAAATTGCCTATCCTCTTTGTGGCGGCCATATTTCCGGAAACATATTTAAACTTCATGTTTAGGCTGATGGCTTTGCCAAAGCCTTAATAAAAATAAAATAAAAATAATAATTACATTTCAGCCAACCCTCGTATATACAAAGTCCTAATTTGTGAGCCGACTCTCTAAAGAATTGGAGACCTGTTATATATTTTTTTAACCATCTACATCTATCATTTGTGAATATTTGAATAATGAAAGTGTATACATCGTATTGCAAACTCCTTTTATTTTTAGTGTGTTTTTTTAACGTGTCGGTTACCTACACGATTACCTTTAACCTGGACCCCAATTCTAATTTTCTTGAAACCTCTAGTGATTGTAATTCCATTGAAACTCCACTGACATTATATTGCAATTATATTTGTTATTCTGCTAAAATAGTTGCAATTGCAGTTGTGTCTCAATAGAGTGTCAGTGGAATGGCAGTGATGGCATTCATTCATTCAGTCACTAACGATCGATGTTGCCTTACTAAAACTACCGTGGAAATTATTATTATTTTTTATTTAACCGTTATTGCACACAAAATGGTACAAACTAGACATTATCTACCAGTCAATCGGAGAGCTGAATTACTACTATACATATCTTAATTTTTATCTCGTTTAATCAACAATTTAGTTTTCAAATTAAACATATATAATGTTAGTAGACTACGGGCTACCTATCAATAGTCCGAAATGACATTTTCCAGAAATAATTTTTGCTCCAAAATTATTTTTCCTTTTAAACTTATCTTAACCTAATCTAACCGAACCTAATCGTGTCTTTGCGACAAACATACAACATATCCTGAAAGAACAACGGTTTCGTTATAATCGGTTTTCGGTGTAATAAAAATTCGAGCAAACGTTATTTCGGGAAAAAAAATTCAAGTTTGTGACAGGTTACCTAGACTGCGCCATCGACGTGCCTTCGACTCGTCATTGAAAAGCAGAATATGAAAAAAATTTAATGGCAGTTGAATAGTATCTCGTTGGCTTGCCATTGACAAGCCACTACTTTAACTTTTAAGCAGAATACCAAACGTACAAAATCCTGGAAAAACGTTACGGAATAATACCTGCTGTTGTGTTTAGAGGTATGGAACACTCTCTTATAGATAGTTGTATTAATTGTATAATTATTTCAGAGCCAATCGACATTAGAAAGGAAAAAGAAAACACTGTCGTTTAGCAGAAAGTTCCCCTTCATGAAGAGCCGAGAAGACGGCAAGTCCGAAGACGGTTCGGACCACGAACGTGAGTAACCAAAGATAAAGCTATGCAAAATAAACTGCAAAAGAGTATCCTTTATCTGGTATTGTAGGTGGCTGCACTTTCATCTACCCCTAACGAATATCAAGCAAGTTTTCTCAGCACTTTGGAACAAATTTATTATTACCTAAAGTGCTTTTGTGTGAATTACTCATATTCATGATTCCTTGAAACGATTGATGATTATTTTCTAGGGGCTATATGAAATTCTGCAGCCTATGTAGTGTATGCACTCAACAAAAAAGTCGCTAATCATCTTGAGACTTTCATGTTAACTTTACACCGATAATTAGTCTTCTTAAACAAAGATATTATCCTAAAAAATAAATATGATTATTATGTATAGTCGGTCTTTTTTGAAGACGGAGTAAAATGACATTTGCAGGGTTACCAGTTTTCATAAAATTTTAAATAGCTAGTCATGTAGTAGTCGACAGATCGATAGATTGTAAAAGAAGATACAACTTTGCCAAAAATGTCTAAATTATGAATGTTACGACGTTCTAATGATTACTAATTGCGTTATTGACTATTCCTATTTCGACGTTAGTCTACTAGTATCGAAATCAATTTTCATTCACATACATTTTAATAAGGACAGGTTAATTTGATTTTCTATATTACTAAAATTAAAACTTTAAAATATGTCTCCTCTTTGTATTTTTAATCGACATTGTGCTAAATATATAAATATGTATGTATAAACTTACAAAATTGGCAATTTAAATAGACCGGTGCCTTGCAGTTGGTCGAATATTAGTCCGATGATGATTGAAATGAAGCAAATTCAACTATTTAATGCATTAGCGTAACCAACATTCCGTTGATAGTCGATAGAATATTTATCGACTGCAATCACTAGCTGCTTTCAAGCGGGCAACACTTTTGCACAGTGAACTGTTATTTTACTTCATCTTCAATGAGTCAAACTTAATAATTTATATTAATATTACTATATCATGGCCGACTTTTTTAGTTGTCTATTTTTAATGACTGTAATATAACCCAGCTAAAGTAATCCCCGCTTCATCAATACCAGACACGTACTCACGTATGTACTCATTGTAATATATATTTAGGTTTAGTCCACCGTATATATCCCAATAAGCACAAAGCTAATCTCTCCATTTTGTTCCAGCTTTCATGCTTTGTTACACTCAGGAGGACACTAATGCGGACGGTAAGTGCACTGTCCACTTATCTCCTTACTTTACAATTGCTATCTCGCTGTTATTATACGTAGGACATATGGCTCGGAAATTTGGCCTCTCACTACTCATTGAATGCAACAAGTTATTTGAATCCTCAACAATTATGTGGAATTTAAAACAATTATAAAATAACGTACGTATTGTTGATGTCGTAAGTCAAAACTGATGCCACCATGTCATTCATTATTCAAAACGAAACTTACCTGTGAAAAGGATAAGAGTGGATTTACCTTGTTCGCAAAAGTCGTAATTTCGGAACTCTATAGTTGAGTAATAAAAGGCCAAAATACCTTCGAGCGCCCTATACGCAGTTTTTCTTTCATGCGGCTGCTAATAACCACAGTATTAAACTATTAGGTCGATTTTACATTAAAGCTACTTGCTTAATCTAACCACAAGACAATGTTCTCACTGTAAACTTACGAAGTTGTTTAACGCTTATTCAGAAATATTTTTCAGACATAGGGTAAATGATTTTTAATATTAAATTTACAAAATTCATATTATAATTTACAACATTGAATATGAAATATATATACATATTCAATATATGAAATATGGAGATGCATTTTTCTATAACGTTTTTTTAGTGCTGTTATTTCAAATATATCTCACTTACTGGGTTCATATAAAATTATATGGTGACTTGTATTTCTTAATCTGTAATAACAAAGTTCTGATTTGTACCGGATATGTGTGAGTAATATGCTTGTAGTGTATATGGAGAAGCATGGTGGCTTATGGTTATTTATTATTAAATAGGGTAGCGTTGTACTGGCGACTGTCAATTGTACTCGTGCTGTCGCTTGTCAAATACGTATTATGTGTAAGCGACCCGGTGACCAGCTATGTACTACCTCTGTGTTAGATAGTTTTATTACTACTAGCTCTCTTCACACGTAACTGTGATTGGTACCAACTTCTAAGTAAACGAAGTTTTGTTTAAATACGTCATTTATCACCGTTTTGTGACACAAACCTTTATTTTAAATTTATTGCTCTTAAGTATAGAGCTTTTCCTTCGGAATAGTGAATAGCTTATTTTATGGAGCATGTATGGTAAATCACAGTTATGTGGACTGGAGCTTAGAGAGTCCGAATTGATGTTCCACATGTAGTTTATGTTGAACTAAGAACGGGTCGCAGCGAGCACACGGATTGGTTTAATACACGTCCGGCCGTCCAGTGCTTCTAGTTGCCTAACCGGAGCCAGCCTATATGTTAACATCCATCGATTAATGTTGCGTCATTTTATTTGCTCTTTATGTTCCCAAGCGCCACTCATGATCTTGTAGACACCTGCTACGTAATAACGACTCGGCCACCGAAGTGATAATCGTTACTATCAGAATGTGATGACTTCTCCATGCTATCTCTAACATTGGTGGCTTCTATCAGAGGTTCCCATCCAGCCCCGTGTCCGCCACGGGCCGCGTCTGCTACGGAATATAATTTTAAATGTATGTAACGTTAATTTTTCTACGTGTAGGGGAAATCTTGTACCGAGTGGAACTTCCCATGATGGAGGAGATAACGCTCATATATCTCGAGGACGAGAGTAAGTTTTGGGAGTGAGGCGTAGCTTGCGAGTGCCGTAGCCGATACCTTACCTCCCGCATTCTGGTTATGATCATCAATTAGAGACGTAGTTTTCATTTCAATAACACTCAAATTTTATTATGTTGTCATTCTTTCTTTACGTTCAGTTGTTTTTATTCATACAACGCGACGACTCTAATAGCCTCTCCGCACTCGAAATACCATCACGAAACCGTTTGGATCATTTTCAAAATTGTTGTTGTGCCGCCGCGTTCGCGCTCGAACGAGCAGCGCCGGCGAGTCGCAAAACAGTTAGCATTGCCACCGACGAGGCTTTGGTCGGAGGGAGTGTGGGGCCACTGGAAGCACACGAGGACACGAGAGCCGCCTCAGCCACGCCGCTCGCGCAGCTTGCAGCCGCACTGCCACGCCGTGCGCCGCGCATGCCACGCGCTTTGCCTTTAGACACAGCCACCGCCTCGCGTCAGTCAAGAGCATGCTCAGACGACACGTCCAATCTCACGACATATCACATTCGGGCTTGTTTTACGTTTCCAGAATTACGCTGTGCTGGTTGAGTTTTATTAGAGTTAGATTTTCTCGCTTCGGAGACGTAGGGCCGCTGTAATTATTTTGATAGCCTTAGCAGTCGCCAACATTTTGTATTTTGTACTACAAAATGATTACTACAATTGCTTTTTTGCATTTTTGTTTTACGGCAGCTTAGAAACAGTCAGAGTTAAATAGACGTGTATTAATGCTGTGTTGTTCCCACATTATTTATATCTGGCTGACATACGTTTTATTCATGTTTCTTAGAGTTAATTGTACAAAGCATGAATGTCACTTTAAGTTCTGTTACAAGCACTTGTACTGCCAAAGACACATTCAATGGTTTCGTTCAAGTACTGTTGAAGAACCCATTTATCATATACAGAAAAGTGTGACTCTTTGTGTTGTTGAAAATATTTTAAAGATATTTGCCATTAGATCTAAAAAAACATCGAAATAAATAAATAGCATCCGAAATTGACGTTTATGCACTTGTTGCACATATTTTTTTCTTTTCTTCTTTAGCAAGTTTTAACCGCAAGAGTGTAGACCGCCTTCAGTTTGCTATCTATCTTGATCTTGGGCTACTCTATCCACCTACTTTTCTTATTTATTACTTTATTACAAAAAAATCATACATTGTAAAGTTAACACAACAAAGTGCTTGCTACTGATGACGTAATAATATATATCAACAGTTAACTAGGTGTAGACGTAGCATAAACGAATATATTATTATAGCTAGTTGCATTTGTTCGGTAGAAATAATAGGAGCTTATCGTAGTATTGAATACAGGACACGTGACGCGGATTGCATTGCAAAGACGACAACTTAAATATACTTAAAATATTATAACCACAAGGCATTGCACGCTCAGTAGAATCGAGCACGCATCGCACAACAAATTACTGACAATGAGACTTCTCACTTGTGAAAATCAGACAAAAACATTTTCAATTAGAAAAATTGTAACAGGTTCCAAAACAGTTCTTAATATTTATTAGTCACCATAAACTAATCAAAAGAACGCTTCCGATTTAGTTGAGAACAATGGTTTCACTAGTTTCCATAATTTAGTCCTACCACTTAACAGTAAATGGTGGTATATGTGTTATGGTTTCGCAGGTCAAGACGAGAACGTGTTGTCGTACGAGACTGTGCAGCAACTGACGATCAGCTACACGCGGCCTGTGATCATTCTCGGACCGCTCAAGGACAGGATAAATGATGACCTTATCTCCGAGTTCCCTGATAAATTTGGCAGCTGTGTACCACGTAATATTCTTTTCCATACTTTACATTCTTGTTAACACAAGAATATAAGCATAATACGTCAATTGAGTACGTACATTTATTGAATGCCGTAGTCGCATAGGCAGACCCCGAAAGAGATGGTGAGATACATGTCAATAAAAAGTCTTTGTTTACCAACGACACATCAGCAACACAGCAAAGCAGCGAACAACAATGTCGCACAAAAATATGAATAGGTCATGAGCTCGTGGCCAAATTCGATTCTCAAATACATTTGCAAACATTTGTCCAACACTTATATTTACAGATATGCAAATTGAATTATTTTAATTCAGTTTAGTCATACATATGCATATTCACTAACTGCAATACAATTTTGTAATCTCCTTACACAATGACAAGCTCAATTTATAACTAATTATGTAATTTTTGTTGGAAAATGATAACGGTTTCGAAAAACAAATTAAATAGCAGCGACTGTGGCTAACTGTAATACTAAGTTGCTTTAAAATAAGTTACTGAAGAATAAACATAAAATAGTCCGGCAAAATTAATCATATTTAGCAAACAAACAAGAGTTTATTTATTACATATTATTAAAGAAAACATCTTTACTTCCAAATAATATTTTTATACTAAACTTCTGAAAGAAATATTAACCAAATGACACATACAATACTTTCTTCTATAAAAATATTTTTTCCACAATGTAGGAACTTGCTTAATTTATATTATTGGTTTTATGATTGGATTTACTTTCTTAACTATCAAGTTTAATGAAAAATAGTGGTAATCCACCGTTTCGCTCGCGAAACTACGACGCTATTTTGACTATTTTTTTATCAAGCGTTGGCTATAAGGCTATCAGATTCTAAATTTTATAAGAACGCAAGGGCTTTCTAGATAGAAATAAATGTTATCGATGTAGATTGATTACAATTAAATGTTATTGTGTGTTTTACTGTGTTGTCACTCATAATAGTATTTGCACATGATGGAGTAGTGTAACGGACACCAAGTTTATGGAATGTTAAGGCCCGAACGTTGGTTTTTTTGAAAAAATAAAATATAAGCTATTTATATCCGAAAAAATAGCTCCTTTGCGTAATAGCTTCATTTACTATATGTTTCCTATGTATGTATTTTAATTTTCGAAACTCTTACCACTAACCATGTTTTTTGTTGTTAGACACGACGAGACCGCGTCGTGATTATGAAGTGGATGGTCGAGACTACCACTTCGTGGCAAGCCGCGAGCAGATGGAGCGCGATATTCAAAACCACCTATTCATAGAGGCCGGCCAGTATAACGACAACCTCTATGGCACCTCAGTCGCCTCCGTTAGAGAGGTCGCTGAGAAGGTACATTTTTGTAATAATAATACATATATTTCAAGTAACATTGACTCATATAATTTGTTAGTAAACCACGTAATACTAATATTGGTAGGTTACAAAATTATACACTATTTTATGATTAAACGAACTTACCTTAAGTGAAGTTCTATCATAATTATGCGAAGCTCCTTGTCCGAGACGGTTTAACGATGTAGTATACGTTGATTGTACAAGCGCCGTCACAATTTTTAAAGATCTAAAACAAAAAACTTCTAGGCCGTATATTTATTTAGATATGGCAACTCTAATGTCATTACGTTTAAAGTATTATCATGAACAGCCCTATCAAGGGAAAATTCAAAAAGGAAATGATGATAAATTTCTGGGAGGGATGGGTATGCCGTCTCGGACAAGGAGCTTCGCATAATTATGATAGAACTTCACTTAAGGTAAGTTCGTTTAATCATACAATTATGCCCTCTCCTTGTCCGAGACGGTTTAACGATGTAGCTGTTTGAAGCTAGGGTTGTGAATGAATAGTCTATGTTACATAGTCATAAAGATTTACATTCTTTATTTTTATTTTAAATTATTTTATGGTTTAAACATTCACTTACACATTTTAAATAATTTTAAATAATTTGTGTGCAAGACAATTAAGAACCATATTTTATATATAGTTCTCAATTGTCTGACACACAACAGTACTGAAGGACGACGGATCATTTATTACAGGGCGGTTATAGAATCTGGCGAAGGTCTCCGAATTTTGAGACCAGCCTGCAGTTTTTCTTATGTTTTCTATATTAAGTCCAGACCTCTTTGCCGCTGAAGTTGATGCATGTCGGGTACTGTGGGCCGTAAAAGAGGTCATATCTATACCAGCTTCTTCTATAGTAGACTTTATCCAACGGCTTATAGTTTGACAAGACGCATTTTTGTGCGGCTTTTTATATGTAATAATCAAATTTTGAATTTCTTTTCTTATGGACTGTGTGTTATTTATATAGGATCTTATGATATGAACTGGGCAGATTTCTATTTTATTGTTGTAAGTTTTTAGATATAACATTGGTTGTAGGGCACCTCGTTTTGAAGTCTTTATGATATCCGGAATATGTATCTGAATTCCTTGATGAATCACCTTAATATTATTTAGTTTAATTAAAGACAGGGTTTGAACCCTATGTCCCGTCGTCAATGTTAATATAGTGACTAACTTTTTAGTTAGTTTTTCCAAGCTTATATCCACATGTGGATACCATAAGGCTACATGGTTTAAAACTAAACCAGGATCCCAGGTAAAATTGTATTTTGGTCTAGGAGCTTTTGATCGGAAGACTCCTTTAATAAATCTTTTGATTCTTTCATCATTTCCTACTTGTTGTCCTATTATAAGTGATAAGGCGGACCTTGTCGAATTTATGGTGCCATATGACGCGCCATTATTAAATTTTTCATTTAAAAATGTTAGAATATTAGGCAC